GTTCGGTAAATCAAAGGCTCTTCCGCAACCTTTGTGCGACCATTCGCTCCACATCCTTTGATCTAAGAGATCCCCCGATCCCTTAGGTGCAAAGCCCATCATTCCCTCAACTTCAAGAGTGTCGATTCTAGGAGAAACATATTATGTGGTATCAGAGCACAATCTGAAAAGTTGAGTTCTCTATCATCTTCATCATATCTCATCATTTCATTTCAATCTTCATCCATAGTCCATTCTATTTTTCGTTTTAATTTTCGTCAGTTTTTGTTTTGTTTGTTCTTTTCTGGATTTTCTGTCATGTTGTATGAATTTTCATAAATATTTGGCTAATCTGAAAATTGCAAATTTGATTGTTTCTGAAACTAGAACGAGTCTAGAATTTTACAAAATTAATTCTGGAATTTTTGAATTCGATTTCATAATTTATTTTGTTAGATCGATTTCATCTGTTTTATGCATCATTTTCATGTTTTTTTCTTTGAACTAGTGACTGGTTTTGTTTTGTTTCAATGGCAGGGGAAGAGAAATCCAAGTCATCACGGTCGAGAAGAAGTGCTAACAATCAAGTCCTCATCGATGCTATCACGAAGCAAATCACCAGTCAAATGTACAAAAAATTTGACGAAAGACTTAAGCCGATCGAAGCACAACTTAAAGGAAAAGAAAAGGTGTCGGCCAAACAAGTCATCATTTCGGAGGGCAAGAAAAATCAAAAGGAGCAAAATAGTCAATCCCCGAGGAAGGAGCCGGTTGATAAAATTTTCCCGAGTAGTCACTCATCTCACCGGAGCAGCCGAAGGCTGAAACATGCGAAAGAAGAGATTCAACCAGTCATAGCCGTCCAAAATCAGCAACTCTCAAGCAAAAAGGAAAAACGAAGTGAAACCAAAATTACAGAAAATATTGCCTCGTCGCAAGCTAAGTGTACTCGTTCATCTTCTCAATCTGATTTTGTGCTTGATAAACTAACAAATTTTGAACCGGAGCAACCGAGTAGCATTGTTTCCATTTCACAGGTTCATGAAGAAGAATCGCTAGGAAAAATACAAAAGATCTTGACGATGAATTGTGAATTGGAACCGCCATCTAACAATGAACCAGAACATGTTCCTATGTCATTTCCTTGTGACTACTCGAGAAAGCACTGTAAGGAAATTGAATTGGTTAGGACTAGTTTTAATTTGTGTGTGTTGATTTCTTCTCAAAATGAAAATCGTTTTGGTTTCGAAAATGTGAAAGAATTTCATGTTTCAAATCTTGTTTTTGATAAAATGGTCTCATCTTTTGAAACAACAACACATGAAAAGTCCTTTAAGCCACAAAGTTTGATGTTTGATGAGTTTCGTGAATTTAGCTCATCTTTGAGAGTGTCTTTGTGTAGCAGTACGTTTGAGTTGCTTAGTACTAAAATTGAATGTGTTTCGTTTCAAACTTGCCATGATTTGAAATACTTGCTTAAAGACGTGTTGTGTGG